TCAGCCTTGGCTCTGGCTCTATTTCTTGGCGGCCTACACGCTCGTCTTCAGTTCTCAGCTCCAGTTGTGAGGTTGAGATCTACGCCATAGCCATGGCTGCATAGGAGTTACGCTGGCTCACCTACCTGCTGACCGACTTGGGAGAGAGGCCTCGTTCTCCTCCAGTTCTGTACGTCGACAACAAGGCTGCCATTGCCTTGTGTCAGGACCACAGACTGGAGCACAGAACGAAGCACATTGCTCTGCGTTACTTCCTTGCTCGAGAGTTGCAGCAGCGTGGTCAGCTTCGTGTCGCTCACGTACCCACCCGAGCGAACACGACTGATGTGTTCACCAAGGCCCTTCCGGCTGGTGATCATGAGTGCTTCTGCACTGCTCTAGGCCTGGTGCCTACGTTTCCTCACTTGTTGTAGACTTTGGTTGTACATATCTTTTTATTTCTGCCTGCATGTTTAATCTTGCTAGGTAGTGATCACTGTACTGTTGTTGTTGCATATATACCTCTGCATGTGAACTGGCCTTGTGGCACTTTGCTTGTGCTCGGAGTGGGTGGTGACGTTGTGATCCACCCTGAGCTTGCTTTTCTTTTCTTGACTGGTTATGTGATTGCTTGTTCTCCCCCGCTTTTCCTATTGGGGTGTGTCAAACTATATCTGTGCTAGTTCTATGTAGGCTATAGTAGGGTAGCCCATATGAGGTACAACCCAATGTTAAGGTTAGTACCTGTACCCACAAGTCATTCAATGCAGTCATTCCTGCTTGCTATCTTGACAGTATGAAGTCCAGGAGCCAGAAGAATCGAATCGACGCAGCAACCGTCTGACCAAGGCCGATGCAGGCATAAACATTTGAAATGGAAAGAGCGGGAACAGGTTTGAAACGGGTTCCCGCGCCGCACGGTTTGAATTCGCCGCAATAAGGGAATGTACCCCTTAGAGTACATGGCTAGTCTAGTTCCTTTACATTCCTTTGTATTTCCTATATAATCTCGATGTATGCATGCTATTATCAATCTCAATCATTTACATTCACTCTGATCTGATCTGAGGTTCAATGCTTCCGCTACAACACTACCTTGCGATCAACCCTGAGCGATCCTTCGCTAAGTCCCGCTTGGGATTGTAACATGGTATGAGAGACATTCAGGGATTCTTCGCAACTTCACTTTCGTGGAATTCGCCGAACCAAGATCTGGCGAGCGGCACACGCTCTAAGACCAAGATGGCCGGAGGATCTGGAGGCCAAGCGAATCTGACGGCCGAAGGACAAACCAACCTGGCTGCGACAAATGAGGCGATAACCACGATCAGCACTGCCGCGCTTGAGCAGTTATTTTCGCAACTCTCAACTATGGACAAATACTTCCAAGAACTGCGCAAAGGCGATGCGGGAACCTCCTCCCAACCAGTTCAACCTGGACAACCGGCTATGAAAAGTCGCGATACCACCGCGCACACCTTCTCCCTCGACACAGACAAATCAACAACAACTGACCCCGTCCAAGTGATGAAGTCATCAACTCTGCGCAAGCACGCTTTCTCAGCGTTTCAAAAATTAAGACTACCGCCGCGTTTGACGGCAATGATTTTTACACTTGGGGTTTTGAGCTTGAGCTCCTCCTACACACAGCACAGATCTACCATTACTTCGACGGCTCCTACGCAAAACTGGTGGAAGACACCGACGACGCCAGAGCTCAGTACTACAACGAGTCCCTCATGGCGTACAATGTGCTGCTACGTAATATTACGCCTGCGGAACAACTCAGCATTTGCTCCTACAAAGAGAGCGCTGCTCCAGCCCTGGAAGCTTGGAAGCACCTCATTGAGGTATATCAAGCGAAGGATTCGGTCACCGCAAGAAGGCTCTTGCAGCAACTCATGGAGACCAAGATGGGGCAAGGGGAGAAAGCAAACTCTTATATCAGCCGCTGTTGGAACATTCGTGACCAAATCACGAAGCATGGAAGCGCAATCTCAGAGGAGATCTTCGTCAATATTGTCCTTCAAGGACTCGGGCCAGAGTGGAAGCCCTGCAAAGCGCTACTCCGACAATGAGGAATCATCACAGAAGCCGCACTATGCGACGCCCTCGTGACTGAACAGCAGGACATGGACTCGAGGAGAACAAGCTCCGTGCCGCGCCGAGAGCGCCTCGCCTTCTAGACAGACAACCGTGAAGAGCGACGACAACAAAGGCGCCACTATTGCAAAATATGCAAAGTCTTCAGACATTCAACGGATCGTTGCAAATCCCGGTCCAACTATCGCCACCCGAATTCCACTCACCATAACAACTGGGTTGGCCGACAAGACGCTCATCATTCCCAACCCCAGCATCAGACCTCTCGTCCCCCTGCACAGCACCAACAACAGCAGGCGCAAGGATCTCAAGCAGGAGCTCCTAGAAACGTAATTGCAAACATGGCGACAAGGCGTCGCCCTCGCGCTGCTGAACCAGACGAAGTGGAAGAACCTCACGGCGGGCTTGTTCAACCTGAAGAAGGGTGGAACAACCCCCTCACAGAAGACCACTACTATTTGCATGACGAAGACAAGCAAGATTGGCATCAGCCAATACAGCTGCGGGAAAGCCCGCCTCACGAGCACCAGCATTTCGTACCTGTGGGATAGAAGGAGGACGAAGATCCATGGTTCCACAGGCGATACAAGGCAACACTGGTGACTCCGCAACTCGCGCTACTTCTGCGCAATAACAACGTCGACAACCACGACACCTTGTACCTAGATAGCTGCTGCGGCCAACATGGGATCTGTTCGATATGTCTCGAACATTAGCCGCGCTCCTGCTACCTACGTCACAGTCGCCAACAACGAGCAATTGCGCGCGAACGAGCAAAGCGTCGTGGTGCTGCAAGCTCGAGATAGCAACACCCACGTCTCGTTCAACGACGTGCTTTACATGCCAGACCTCCGCTTCAACTTACTCTCGGCAGGACAACTCCAAGACTGCGGAGTCATGCTTGCCACGGACCCTGTTAGAGGGCCCTACGACAGCAAGGGCCCTCACGATATGCTTGACTTGGCAGGTTTACAACCAAGACTACGAGCTGCCAGCACCGACGACGACGACGAGCGACTACGGCAACTCTAATGAAGTCATTGCTGGGGTGGTGCTGGCTTAGGGAAGTCGTGGTATGTTTCTTGGGAAATGCGTGATTGTCTTGGGAGTTATGGGTGGTTCTTTGTGAGTCTCGCCATTTCTAGCTGTGCTGGGAGAAACGGCGTGCTTGGCATTCACTTCTCTGCTGAGTTGGGTTGGGAGTTGACGAGGCGCGTTCACTCACCCACACACCACTTTCGTGGGGTTGGGTTACTCCGCAGCACCACGCAATGTTAGTGCAACTCTCCCGTAGCCTATATCAATCTTGTGTGTCTGCTTTTGTATTCATAGTTGATATTACAATTCTACTTGGCCCAATTGCTACTTCAATTCTCACCAAGTCCTTGGAAACGAACGCTACTGAAACGCTACCGAGTTGCTGGCGCAACACCGTTCTCATAGCAGAAACTCTCCCGCTATCGCTATGCTCTCTAATATATTCCTTAATGGTGCGGTGAGCGTGGAACGAACACGCATAGCTTTCCGTCGACGTTCGTTGGTATACTCGCCTTAGCGTGCGGCGTTAGTGAAGGGCGCTCATTAATTCTAGTTGAACATCTCTTAACCTCCCTCCAATTACGCTCTCGGACCCAAGGATAGGGCGTTTGGTATTTCATTACCACTCGTCTGAGGACCCTTATGAGGTGACCCCGAGACGAGGGATTGAAGGAAGGGACAATTTATTATAATTTGTGGTACCTTATAGAGACGTCGTAGAGGATGAACTTGGAGGAGGCGGACGTTGAGGCCGGTAATATTCGCGCATTAGAGGAGGATCTCGTAGCTTGCCATTCTCGTGGTGAGCTTAGTGATATCGAGTACGAGCTCATGCAGGAAGGATTACGCGCTCGTCGGCATCGCGATCATCCCTCGCCACGTGTAGAGAATGTTGAGCAAGCTGCGGGAGGTACTAGTGCGTGGGATATGGCTGTCGATGGCGGAAATCTCGATGGCGAGGAGCTTGATGGGTTGATGTCGCGTGGGGTCTTGCGAGGACCGACTCGGTTTAGTACGGCTAGCGTTGGCGGTGTACAGGAGCGTGTTCATCGAGCGGCAGCATCACGAGAGCATGCACATGTAGGACGGCGGAGCGTTGCTGGAGGAGGGAATGCGGAGGAGTAAGATAGTGAGGCTATGCCGGGCGTTACCCCGATTGGATCAATGTTGAGGGACGAGGGAATAGCCCCCAACTATGGCTACTTCAAATTCACTCCAGGCAAGATCGTCATCCCTAGGCCATTAGAAGGACGTCACGACATGTCGACGTGGACAGAATCGATCGAGCCACAGTTTGAGATCGCTCAGCTAAAGCGAATCATAGATGGCACCACCCCCATTCCACCAGCGCGTGCACTTGCGCATCTCTCTCAGTTCCGCGCGATGCAGTTGCTGACGTTCACCACCATTTCCCGATGCTGCTCCCCAACCGTACAGATTGCCCTTAAGGCGTGCTGCTTCAAGGTAGGCGCCGGCTTTCAGGCATGGCAGTTTATCATGCGCGTGCACTTGCGGAGGCCCTTGCGGTGGCACCTGGCGCTGTCGCAGGCCTAAGGGTGCGCAACCGCATGGAGCACGCCTCGCTGCCCTCTGGTGTGACGCCGTACGACCTCGCCTTCCGACGCAAACCCGATGTCAGTATGGTGCGTGTTTGGGGCTGCATGCTGCAGTATATGGTGCCGCAGTCGCAGCGCGGGGGGAAGCTGGCGCCTAAGGCTCGCTGGGGGTTGAACTTGGGGGTGTCAGCAGCGAGCAAGGGCTGGCACGTGCTGGACTTGGAGTCCAACCGCCTCATCACCACCGGGGAAGCAGTTTTCTATGAGACCATGTCCTTGGCAGGATGGAAGGCTTGGCATCAGCAGGAGCACGGGGGGCGTCCGATGCCCTATGAGCCCCTTCCTTCACTCTTTCCAGGCACTCTTGAGGAGGAGGTGGAGGAGGAGGCAGTGGTCGCACCTCGTGTTATGCACTATGTCCCTACCTCAGTCCCCACCCCACCTCCTCGTACAGTGTACCCTCGTGTGGTTCCTCCTACCGCACTTCCTACATCCTCACCCCCCTTGGCTACCCCTCCTCTTCCAGTTATTCCCTCTCCTCTTCCACCCTCCATCCCTCCTCCACCTGCCCCACCCTCCTCTTCGTCTTCCACGGCGCCGCCCGTGGGTGAGGGGAGGACAGTGGTGTCGCCGTCTGTGATGAGCACCGACAGGCAGCGCCTTGTGACTGAGCAGCTGCAGGACGAGAGCAGCATGGATGGAGTGCAGCAGAGTGGGAGGCAGGAGACAGGGGAGCAGTAGACAGGGGAGCAGCAGATTGGGGAGCAGCATATAGGGGAGGAGCAGATTGGGGAGCAGCAGACAGGGGAGGCGCAGACATGGGAGCAGGAGATGTGGGGAATTCGAGATGGTGGTCGTGTGTTGGTTTCTGGGACGATCACAGCACCGCCGTTGCGTCCCTCCACTCGCATCACTCGTGGTGTCCCGCCAGTTAAATATGCTTGGGCAGTAGTGATTGAGCCAGCGGGTTTGGATGACGAGGAGGAGGACGAAGAGTGGACGGACTTAGCCCCAGATGTTGTTGGTGCAACCTTACGGTTTGCACCCGGCTTGTTGTCCGTGTGCGTGCATGCGTGTGTGCATGGAATGGTATGAGGGCATGAAATAATATATATTCCATGCTTATAATAGTGTATGAATGCTGGGTCATTATGTCGAATGTGTGTGTCGAGTCAATAGCGAGTTCTCGCTAGCCGCGTGTTAATGTGGTCATTTGTGTCTCGCGCGCGGTTTCTATTTTGTCGTGTGTCTCGTTCGCGGTTTCTATTTTGTCATGTGTCGAACGTTCGGCGTGTCACAGGTGTGTGCAGCAGACCCATCAAGAACTCAAGGATGAGTTTTGTGATGAAGAACCGGAGCCTTGGTTCAAGCTTCAAGTGATTTCGAAGCTCATCAAAAGGGTACACCTCACGATATTGAAGATTGTTACATTACAATGTGTAGTGTAACATTTCTGTTGGTGTGGACCCTTGTGGAGGGTAGTTTCGAGACCCTTCTTGGTTGAGGACAGTGTGGCATTGTTCCACATCACTGTACCTCGGCTCTTGGGGTTTGTAGGAGCTGGGAGTCATTCCCAACTCGTAACTCTTCCTAGTTGTTCGTATTTGTGTGTTCTAAGACTATGTTGCTGCCATAGTGCCGTTCGTTCAAACCAACGTTGTGACGTCAATTCTTGATGAAATCGTGCGATTTAAAATGCCTATTGTAGGCGTTGTTAAGACGCTCCAGATCCAAGTTGAATCAGGTCAATTGGAGCTGTGACCAGATCGCTATGAACGTCTGAAGCCTCTGTGCAGAAATCCGACTGTGCACTCTATCTTTTGTTCGAAGCACATTGAAGCCTATTGTGACTGTAACAGATGTGGTGGCCGACCCTGAGAGGCAGTGGGATATAGCTAAGATGACAGTGAAGGAGGCCTTGGGCTGCTGGAAGGGCGACAAGGTGAAGGAGTCGATGGATGAGGAGATGCGGAGCGTGATTGAGTAGGGGACGTGGGAGTTGGTTCCGCGTCCTCCAGGGGTGAATGTGATGAAGAACCGCTGGATTTTGAACACCAAGTTCCGACCGGATGGGATAGTGGAGCGTGAGAAGGCGAAACTGGTGGTGAAGGGGTTCACGCAGGTGGCAGGGGTGGACTATGAGGAGACGTACGCCCCTATGGGAAGCTATGTGACAGCGCGTGTGCTTCTGGCGATTGCAGGTGCACTTGATTTGGACCTGATGCAGTTGGATGTGAAGAACGCGTTCCTCCACGGCGTGCTGGACCGAGACCTTAATATGGAGCAGCCAAGCTGCTCTATGAGGATGGGACTCCTCGTGTCTGTAAGTTGGTGAAGAGTGTTTATGGGCTCAAGCAGTGCCCGATGCTATGGTATGAGGCCTTGGATGGGGTACTGCTTGGGGCTGGATGGAAGAAGAGCCAAGTGGATGAGGCTCTGTACTTCAAGCGTGATGCTGAGGGGGAGATGTGCTGGCTGCTGGTGTATGTGGATGATTTGCTTCCTGCCAGTTGCAGTCAGAGCATCCTAGGGGAGCTGCGTGACCTGCTGCAGAGTGCCTTTCAGCTGCGGGAGATTAGCCCTATGAAGAAGTACCTGGGCTTGCAGCTGATTCGGGACAGGCCTACGAGGAGGCTGTGGCTGCACCAGGGGGCCTATGTGGACAAGGTCCATAGGCGCTTCTTTGACAGGAAGCAGCCGCTGCGATTGCCTCGCACCCCTCTTTCCTCTAACCCTTTCAGTGTGCAGACCTTCGAGGATGTGAGATGGCAGTCTCGCCAGGAGGAGGAGTACAGGCAGAAGGTGGGATCCTTGCAGTTCGCGGCCTGTACCACCCGTCCCGAAATCTCGTTCGCCTGCAACAAGTTGGGGTCGGGCCAGACTGTGCGGAGTGGTCAGCACTGGAAGGAGTTGGACCGGTGCTTGACGTGCTTGGTGGGGAGCAGGGATGTGGTGCTAGAGTTTGGTGGTGGGCCGGAGTCCTTGGAGCTGGTAGGCTACACCGATGCTGATGATGCAAGGGACGAGCAGAACAAGACCAGCACTGGTGGCTATGTCTTTGTGCTCGGAGGTGATGCTGTCTCTTGGGCAAGCCAAAGGATTCGTTGCGCCACCCTCTCCTCCACTGAGTCAGAGTACATTGCTGCGGTGGAGGCTGGGAAGGAGGCGCGCAGGCTGCGCTTCCTACTGGCAGAATTTCAATTGCTAAGGAGGGAGGAGCCCACTACCCTCTTTGTGGACAACTCCTCCGCCATTTCAATGGCAGGTGGCATGGGGCTCAAGGGGAGCCTCAAGCACATGGAGCGTCGCCACATGTGGCTACAGCACATGGTCAAGCGCAGGAAGCTACAGCTGCAGTACATCCCTACGGGCGAGCAGCCTGCTGACTACCTTACAAAGGCGTTGCATTTCCCCGCTTTCAGCCGTTGCTTCGAGGCTGTGGGGCAGGTGAGGCTCTCGAGCGAGGGGAGTGAGACCTCGGCACTCCATGATGAGTATGGTGCCATGGCCTATCCATGGCTGGTGCGGTGCGTGTTTGCACTTTGAGAGTGCTTCGTTTGTGCGTGTGTCCCTTTGTTTTGGTGTGTATGTATGTATGCATGCCCTGTGATTATAAAGGGCCTTGCTGTAGTATGGCAGGGGAGTGTTAGAGGGCCCTACGACAGCAAGGGCCCTCACGATATGCTTGACTTGGCAGGTTTACAACCAAGACTACGAGCTACCCAGCACCGACGACGACGACGAGCGACTACAGCAACTCTAATGAAGTCATTGCTGGGATGGTGATAGCTTAGGGAAGTCGTGGGTATGTTTCTTGGGAAATGCGTGGTTGTCTTGGGAGTTATGGGTGGTTCTCTGTGAGTCTCGCCATTTCTAGCAGTGCTGGGAGAAACGGCGTGATTGGCATTGACTTCACTGCTGAGTTGGGTTGGGAAGTTGACGAGGCGCGTTTGCTCACCCACACACCGCATCTTCGGTGAAAGGAACGACAGACTCAGCTTCTCGAGACAGGAACGCCCAACGCCGCGCTCGGGGACACTCTGCTTCATCCTTGAAGCCAACACCGGGACCTTTGACGAAAAAAAACGTCCGCGCCCATACACCCGCGACGTCTACCGCAAGGAGATCGACAAGACGTAGAAAGATCCTGACGCAAAAGAGGAGCTGAGCGTCAAGGAAGAAGAAGATAAGGTGAAGGCAGAAAAGAAACAGAAGCAGTATGAGGAACGCATCGCCGCCGGATAGGAAGAAGAGTCCGCACGACGTGATGGTTGGGGAGACGACGACGGTGGAAACACCGGTGCAACATGGGGATCTGCAACGGGCGCATTTGGCACCGTCCAATGATGGGGAACTGGCGGCTGTGGTAATGCAGCAGGATGGGGCGAAGAAACCTACGGAGATCCTCCGCTGACCAAGGAAGAACTGGAGGACATCGAAAGGGAAATGAAAGCCGAGCGCGGTGAGCAATCTCCACGAGTCACCGTTCCGCTCGGACGTCCCCCGCGCAATTGCCCACCTTCACCCAGCTCACCCTATCGCTGGGACGACCCCTGGACGGAGATTGAGGAGGCGAACGTGCCACCAACTCCTCCGCGAGACTCACTTGGTCCAATCTCCAGCCCAGATCCATTTGCCCGCTTTATTGAAGGCACGAGGACTCTGCTCAACATCATCCCTGACTGCGAGTTTCTTGCGCTCTATCTCACGACGACACCTGCAGAAGGGGAGACAACAACAGAAGCAGAAGCAAAGGAGCCGGGCAACGAAGCAGAACCAGGGGAAGAGGAAGAACCTCCACTCCAGATTCCGCAAGAAACGGAGGCAGAAGCGGCGGAATCCCTTGCTCGTTACATGCGCACTTCCGGGATCCGCACCGAGGACGATCTCTGGCATCAGCGACTCGATCACCCTTCGCGCCAGACGCTCAAAAACTGTCTTCGCGCCAAATTGTTTTCCCTAGGAGCACTGCTGTGCCCCACGGAACCCCACAACACCCCGCATCCAACTACCTGTACTGTCTGTCCTATAGCTGCCCTTTCTCACAGTGCCTATCCCTCTTTGGAACCAAGCACCAATCGCTTCAAGAAGCTGCAAAAGGTGTACAGCGACTTCATCGTGCTCACGTGCGACTGCATCAACGGCAAGAAATACACGCTCACCTTCGTGGACGCCTACTCATGCCACGTTTGGATTGCCAATGTCGACGCTCGCTCCAAGGCTCCAGAGGTCTTCCGCACCTGGCTCGCACACACGCAACGACATGTCAAGAGAGAGGAACGGGAATGGCTCGACTAGGTCAAGGAGGGGGTACAAACAAGAATGTTGAGGTAATATCTGTACCCCCTAAGACTATCCCCTATATAGCCTAGACAACATTAAACACATATGTCTTGACACAACCCCATAGGCAAAGTGGGGGATATCCAAAGCGAACAATGGTCACAAGACCAGTCAAGAGAACAAAGCAAAAGCAAGCTCAGGGTGGTTCACGAAGTCACCACACATTTCGAGCACAAGCAAATGGCCACAAGGCCAGATCACATGCAGAGTTAAAATAATGAGAACATACAGTACAATGATCTTTACCTAGCAAGAGTAAGCATGCAGTTATATATGTATAGATCACAGTACAAGCAAAGTCACGAAATGAGCAAGTGAGATGAAGCAGGCACAAGGCCTAAAGCAGTACACAAACACTGATAATCACCAGGCAGAAGTGCCTTGGTGAATATATCAGCAGTGTTGGCGCTAGTGGTTACGTAAGCAAGACAAAGCTGACCACGCTGCTGCAACTCTCGAGCAAGGAAGTAACGCAGAGCGACGTTCTGTGCTCCAGTCTGTGCTCCTGACACAAGGCGATTGCGGCCTTGTTGTCTACGTACAGAACTGGAGGAGAACGAGGCCGCTCTCCCAAGTCGGTCAGCAGGTAGGT